TCAGCGACGGATTTGCGAGGGAAGTTTCAGCGACGGATTTGCGAGGGAACTTTCAGCGACGGATTTGCAAGGGAAATATCAGCGACAGATTTGCGAGGGAACTTTCAGCGACGGATTTGCGAGGGAACTTTCAGCGACGGATTTTCCCTCGCTAATCCGTCGCTAATGTTTAAAAATAAAAAAATAAATTTTTTAAAAGTACATAAATCCTGTATTTATTTTTAAAAAACCTGAAAATAATAATATATAACAAACCAAATCTGTGAACAAAAGTAACCAATTCATATGATTTAAAATATGGATTCATACAATTTAAAATATTCAATTCAGACAATTTAATCTTCGAATACATAAAATCTAACTATCGGGATCTGGGGGAGGTGGGAAAACGTATCCTGACTGCCGCATAAACGCAGCAAAATGCTCCGATAATGCGGTCTGTTGCGCTAATGCAGCAATCTGTTGGGCTAATGCAGCAGCTTGTCTGGCCTGTTCGGCCTCCAAATCTGCCCTCTTCTTCCGTTCTTCCTCCATTTCGCAGATTGTTCTAGATTTTTAAAATACATCAGTGAGGGAAAGTATCCGTCGCAGAAATTAACCAAAATTTTTAAAATACATCAGCGAGGGAATAAATCCGTCGCAGATTGTTCTAGATTTTTAAAATAAATCAGCGAGGGAAGTTTCCGTCGCATAAATTAACCGAAAATTTTAAAAATAAATCAGCGAGGGATCAGATCCGTCGCAGAATTTAACCAAAAATTTTAAAATAAATCAGCGAGGGATCAGATCCGTCGCAGAATTTAACCAAAAATTTTAAAATAAATCAGCGAGGGATAATTCCGTCGCAGAAGGAGCTGGAGTTTTAAAACCTAGATTTTTAAAACCAATCAGCGAGGGATCAGCGAGGGAATATGATTTTTGCAAAATCCCTCGCTGATCCCTCRCTGATCTGCGAGGGATCAGCGAGGGAATTGTCTTATTTTTTTATTTTTATTTTTATTTTATCAGGGCTTAACCCATTTAACTGAGTTTTGTTTGGTTTTATGGGCTTTATTCGGTTTTATTTGGCCCAAATATAAACCCATTAAGGCCCAACCAAACCGAATAAAACTCATTAAGGCTCAAATAGAATCGAATAAAGCCCATTAAGGCCCAATAAAACCGAATAAAGTCCATTAAGGCCCAATAAAACCGAATAAAGMCCATTAAGGCCCAATAAAACCGAATAAATCTCATTTAGGCCCAATACAGCCTAATAAAACCGACTCGACGAGTATATATATAAACATCAATCCAATCGTGGTTACAACCACTACACATCTATATATATCGTGTATACATGTGTATATATACATTATAACAATTACAACATTGTGTAAATATATATATATATATAAATATATATATATATATATATATATAACACGGGACGACGGGTATATATATATATTTATAACACATGCATATATGTGTATATAATACAAATCGCGGTTAACAACCACAACATATAACACATATACATACATACGACATATACATATAACACATATATACAAATAACACATATACATACATACATACATACATACATACATACATACGACATCGACATATAAAAATATGTACATATAACACATATACATACATACGACGTTATATAACACATATACATA